AATCAGGATTAATTTATTGGCAGGTTCTCTACCAAAAATCATTGCACCACTTATATATATATATAGTTTGTTTGTTTGTTTGTTTGTTTGGGGCTTTTTGTTTGATGCATTTGGTACAGGGTCTCACTACGCAGCTCGGATCCTCCTGTTTTTAGCCTCCCCAGCTCTGGGATTACAGGCGTGCACCATCATGCCTGGTCTCAGTGGCAGATCGAACTCCAGTCCCTGAGCTTCCCGAAGCAGGCACTTAGTCTGCTGAGCTAGCTTGCTAACTCCCCCAACCTTTTTTTTGCGGAGCCAGGGGTTGAACTCAGGCCCTTGCGCTTGCCAGGGAAGCACTTATTCCACTGAGTCATATCCCTGGCTCCCCTCCCCCAACCTTTTTTTAAAATTCTGCAAGCAGGTACAGGGGCTGAGGATTCAATCCCCAGGCCTGCCATGCAGGCCTCACTCCTGGGGTGCACTGAAATGGAAATTGAGACTGGGCGTGGTGGTGCACACCTGTAATCCCAGCTCTTGGGAGGCTGTAAACAGGCAGATCACTATGAGCCAGATCTAGTAGTGAGAGCCTGAATACTCTGTAGACCCTTCCCTAAACTATAAAAAAAAAAAAAAATCTTGGGGCTGGGGAAATGGCTCAGGAGAGTAAGCACTTCCCTGGCAAGCACAAGGGCTTGAGTTCAATCCCCAGTTTCACACAAAAAAAGATCTTATAAGTGCCCAGGTTGTGCTCAAACTTGTGATCCTCCTGCCTCAGTTTCCCTAGTGCCAGGGTGACAAGCAAGAACCTGCACACCTGGTGAGAGTGAGTTTCATAGTTTTCCTGTGTGTGTGTGTGTGTGTGTGTGTGTGGCCGGCTCAGCCTGCCCTGGAGTCGGGGCTGGCATGGTATGTGGTTGCAGGAATCAAACAGAGGTCCCTATGCTTTCCTAAGCTTGCCTAAGCAGGCACTTTAGTCAGCTGAGCTATCTCACTGGCCCCAAGAGTGAGTTTTATAGACCAAAAACCAGTCATGGCATTCTGGATCCTTCTGTGACAAGTAGGGGGAACGTGGGGCATGGGTGCACACCTGTAATCTCAGCACTTAGAAGGCAGAGGCAGGAGGATCACCTGAAATTCAAAGCCAGAGGAGGGAGCTAAACAAAAAAAAAAAGTGAGAGTAGGAGAAAGATTGGTTTCTTTTCGCGGCCCCACCCTAACTCCACCACTAGGTGGCAGTGTCCTCAGAACCCCCCCAGCCACTGTACCCCAAGGAACTGCATCAGCAACAGGGATATCAGGCTCGCTGTACAAAACAGAGTGACTTTTATTGTGCTAGATGTAAGGGGTACTGTCACGGGCACTCGAGGTGAAGAGGTGGAGGTGGCCCGTTCCTAACGGGTCCTACTCGAAGGTACTCTGGGGTGGTCTTGGGGGCTGTGCTGGCCACGGCGGATGATGGAGTTGATCCAGTCTATGAACTCTGCCACGGGGGCAAAGGCATCTGGGTATAAGCCCGAGCCACAGCCACCGCGGATGAAGGAATCGATTCCTTGGACAAGACCATTGCAGACCAAGGGGCCACCGGAGTCACCCTGTGGAGGGGTCGGGCTGTTCTATGTGTCCTCCCTTCGCCTTCCCACCCTGGGGAGTCCTCCCCGCCATCTCACAGTTCCTGCTGCTGCAGCCAGCCAGGAGGGGCATGGGGGACTCACGAAGCAGATTCCAGCCCGACGGCGCCGAGGCACCAGGGTGCAGACATTGACACGGCGGCGACACTGGGATGTCACCACAGTCACATTGAGCTCCTGCAGGACACTTGGGGTTGGGCGGTTCGTGCCCAAGCGGCCCCATCCCATGGCCAGGCACCGTGCCCCGTTCTCCACACCACGGCCCTGGGCAGGCAGCTGGGCCACCTGGACGTTAGCATTGATCGTGGCCGACCCATTGAGCTACAGTGAAGGGACCAAGAGCCAGGATGTCACATGGGAGCGGTGGGCAGCCTCCCTCCCTGCACATAGCCTCAGCTTCCCCATCTGAGGCTATTCTGTGGTTCTCGCAGTTTGCAAGACAGGATTCCACCCCAAGCTTCAATTTCCCCATCTTCAAAAGTGGGAGCTCATGGTGTGGTTGGGGCTGTCCATGGGCACTTGATCAGTCAAAGCATGGGCAATGCCAATGGAAACAAAACTTTGCTCCCAAACCTTCCCAAGAAGTAGAATTTTGCAAGCAGGGGCTTAGCACAGTGAGTTTTTCCCTCCTGTCTCCTACCTGTCTTAATAAAGGTGAGATTTTTTGCCCTTAAACAGGGAAAACACATTAAAAAAAAAAAAAAAAAAGAAAAGAAAAGAAAAGAAAGAAAGAAAGAAAGAAAGAAAGAAAGAAAGAAAGAAAGGAAAATAAATAAAAGAAAAGAAAGACTAGGGCGATAGCTTGGCTTAAGTGTCTGCCTAGCAAACAAGGTTCTGAGTTCGATGCCCAGTACTACAATAAATAAATAGGAGGAGGAGGAGAAGAGAAAATAACCAGGGGTGGTGGAGCACACCTATCATCTTCTGGGAGGCTGAGGCAGGAATATGGCAAGCTCAAGCCCAGCCTAGGTATTTACAACTTCCTGAGACCCTGCCTCAAAAGGTAGCATAGAATGCACTGGGGAGGTAGCCCAGTATGAAGGCTCTGGGTTTAACTCTCAGTACCAAAGAAAAGAAAAGAGGGGAGACAAAGGGAGAAGAGGGGGAAAAAAGAACCCATGTGATTTATCAGAGCCTCCCATATTTCTTTATTAAAATCAGAAGGTGAAAATATAGAAAAAAAAAATCAGAAGGTCTAGGGACTGGGGGTTTAGTTCAGAAGTAGAGCACTTGCCTAAAATCAGAAGATCTGGGCTCTGAGCCTTTAGGTTGGACCCCAGATTGTGCAAGTAAGAACATTCAGATTGCAGCAACACTTGGACACAGCCCAGGGCTAGCAGGGCGTCCAGTGCGTGACCTGCTGCTGCAGGGACGCTGAGGACACAGACCTCTGGGGTGGACCATCTCCCTCAACAGGGACTGATGTGGAAGGAGGCTCCCCCAGAGGGCAGAGCAGGCCTGGGGCCCAAGGCCCTGGGGTGCAGCCAGCAGCCATGGGCCAACCTCCGGGTCTTAGCCACAATCACAGGAGACACAATTACGCTGCCATAATTCATAATTCACTTTTTCTGTTTTTTTTCCAGTTCTTGGGGAGGACGCAAGGCCTCTGTGCTGAGCTGTACTCCCACCCTCCATCCAGGACTGAGGCTGCCTCGGGCCACCACTCTGCTGTCCCAGCCCCAGGCTCCTAGTGCAGGCCCCTCTCTGCACCTGTTCCTCATCTCTTAAGCAGGGATCCTGCAGCCCCTGCCCTAGGGACTGGAGGGGCTGGAATGTACACACTGCAGTCTCCGAAGGATGCCTGAGCCCTGTCTGTGTCACCAAGCCAGACTCTCTGATCTCTTTATGAAGTGAGACTTTTGTTTCTTTGTTTTTTATTCTTTTGCAGTGCTAAGCCTAGAATCCAGGGCCTGATGCATACTAAATACTCTGTCCCTGAGCTGCATCCCTGGTCTTTTTCTTTTTTTATTC